AGCCAATACAATTACAAACAACTACATTAGGCCTTGCCTGTTGACAATATATTGCCAATCTTGCACACCAGATAATATGTTACATCAATCTCGTATTTCTTTTTCTTGAACATACATTTACTTGTACGTTGTACTCTAGGACTTGTATTTGATCTACAGATGAATGATGGAATAGTGTAATTTACTTCTGTACGTCAATTCGGTCTCACAGTATTTCAGTGGGCAGCTTTTAAAAGTTAAAACTGCAAGTGTAATACAAACAAATAACGTAACACTGTATCATATTTACTTAATGTAGGGCAGTTGCGCTATATCCTAGGGGAAGGTATAATTATTAATTAATAGGCATTATAGGCCAGAGGAAATTTTGCGCCCCTTCACACCTGCGCCTGGGGGTGACTGCCCCCTATTGCCCCCCTCTTGTTACGTCACTGAGAAAATCATCACACATTTCTGAATACCAGGGATTAAAACTACTTGGTGGATATAGTGATAATGTTATAATTAACATAACATAGTATTTAGGGACACCAAGGGACCTATTAGTCCATCTAAGCTGTCTCACCCTCTAAACTAAACTAAAACTATTAAATAAAGTAAAAAATACTCAAGCCAGCCCATTATCATTCATATCTTTATCAATACTTCCTTTAAACTCACTTAAATTTACTGTCTCCACCACATACGAAGGCAACCCATTCCAAAGGCTAACTGCCCAGTTAGAAAAATAAAACTGTCTTAGCTGAAGATGACTCCTACACTGCCAAGATTTATACTTGTGCTCACTAGTTCTATCATTGTCACCATTAAATATGGAAAATCTTAAACACCTGAATCAGATCCCCTCTAGTTTTACTTTTTTAAGAAAAAACAATTTCAGATATCATAACCTCTCCTTGTATGACAACATTTCCATTCCAGGTATCATTCTAGTAGCCCTTCTTTGAACCCTTTCCAACAATTCAATGTCCTTTCTAAGTTAAGGAGCCAAATACTAAACACAATACTCCAAATATGGCCTAATCAGTGACCTGTACAATGAAATTATAAGCTCTTTAGACTTGTATTTAATATTTCTGTAGATACGACCTAAAATCCTATTTGCCCTACCACTGGAAACAGCACACTGATTGGATGGCTTAAGAGACTGATCTACCACTAAACCATGATCCTTTTCTTCCATAACACTGTTAAGGTTATTCCCATCCAAATTATACTTATAATTTAAATTGTGATAAACCACATGCATTATCTTACACTTATTATAATTAACCTTCTCCACACAGGTTACGGGTCAAAGGCCATGTCATCACATATGTTGACTTGCATTCAAAATTTTATTGAACTACTTTTTTGTGAATTTATGTCAATAAGTTTGTTATCAAATTGTAGATTATAAATCAAGTTTTAGTATTATACATTATTTAATTTCTTAATTTTAAAGTAATTATTAAAAAAAACATACCTAAACATAAATTTTTGTGTGTCATGTTGAATGCAGCACTGGTTAAAATCAGATGTTTGTGATGTCCAATTACAAAGTCTAGAGTTTCTTATGAATTAGGAACTCAAATTACCGATATTAACAAGCTATTTGCTGAGATATCGCTCATGTACTGAATCAAACACAGTGGTCCAGCACACCTCTTTCCATTTTTGGAAACACTTCATCACATGCAATTACTTCTGTTTTTGACATGTGAATAGCCAATCAAAAGCTTAGGATATCCCCTAGTGGTTTTCTCAGCCATTTTCAAGTATTATGACATCAACTTATTCTTTCGGTACTAGTCCACTAAAACACAGCCAAGATAGGTCACTTTGTAAAGGTCAGTTTTATATTATTGGATACGGTAACATGAGTGTATGTGCATTGTGTCACTGTAACATCTATGTTAGCCAGGCATGACTGAAAGGTCATTATAATAAAAATGATAAATATATATAAATGTATAATATTATGACGTTTAAGCTATCTAGAATAAATAGAATGAAAAAATCATATCTTATATTTATTTCCTAATATTTTATGGTGGTTATGAGATCAATCAAATCTACGGAACCCATACAGAGATATAGTAGTGAAAGTATAAAGTTTTTCAAGAAACATTTGATAATTATCTGGATGTTATAACGATTTCGTATTTAAAATGAGAAAATTTTCTGATGCATAAAAGTATTTTTAATCTTAAAATGAATATTACTTTGCATTTGGATAGGCAACATGTAAAAATAAAAAAGGCATGAGAAAAACATTACTTGAAAACCTTAAGACTTAATTAACAAAATCTGATATCTTGCGTACAAAAGCCTTGTAATGTTTACTGATGATATGCCAAATTTCATGAACATATGCTTACTAATTTAAAAGTTGTAGCATGAAAAGTATAACAAGCACAAGATTGTTGTGAGGTCAGTCCCAGGGACTGAGTCAGTGCTGAAAGAGTTAAAACCCATCTGTCTCTTATTTTCCCAGCTCACTAAATATTCCAAATCAGTTTGTAAAGCAGCAGCATCCTCTTCACAGCTAGCAACATCCATTATCTTAATATCATCTGCAAATTTAAGTAATTTATTGACCATTTTTTCATCTATGTCATTGATGTAAATCATAAATAGCAAAGGTCTTAAGACAGAGCCCTGAGCACTTGTGAGATTAATCCATTTTGACTGAACTCCATTTATAACAACCTTCTGTTTTCTTCCCTCCAACCACTTTTCTATCTAATTAGCCAACTTATCACCTACACCTATAGAGATACTGTTTTTTTATAAGCCTTTTATGTGGCATTTTCTCATTTGCTTTCTGAAATTTCAGATACACTAAACCTACACCCTTATCCTTATCTACATAGGCAGTAACCTTTTCAAAGAAAGTCTAAAGATTTGTAAGGCAAGATTTTCCCTTATTGAAACCATGTTGACTATCCAATAAAATTCTAAACTTTGTTAAATAACTTTGCAAAACATTTTATCAGACTTTCCAAACTTTTTCCCACAGCTGATGTAAGACTAATAAGCTTATAACTACCAAGACAATTTTTATCACCTCCCTTGAAAAGAGGAGTAACATTAGCCAACTTCCAATCCTCTAGCACCTGCCCACTATTGAAGAACTTACAAAAAATAGTACCAAATGTCTTGCATATCCAATCCTTAAACTTCTTCAAAACCTTTAAGGAAATATTATCTGGTCCAGGAACCTTATCATTCTTTAAACATCCCAATTGTTTCTTAACAAGCTCAGAATTAATGTGATCATCTTGTTCGATCCGGTTTCCAATTATCAACTATTCAGGATGATGAATATTGCTTAAATCTTCATTAGTAAAACTTAAAGAAAAAGCAGAATTTAATAACCCAGTCATCTCATAATCATCAGATATGAGCCTTTCTTTATCATCCCTCACAGACCCTACTCCCATCCTAAAATTTTATTTACCCTTAATGTGTTTAAAGAAATCCTTATTATTAATGTTTGCATTTTCAGGTAACCATTTCTCATACATCCTTTTTGATGTCCTAATTTCCTGTTTGACCAACTCTCTTGATATTCTATAATCTTCTAAACCTTCTGTCATATCAATCAATATACATTTCTAAAATTTGTGATGTTTTTCTTTCATTTTATCCCTTACACCCTTTGTGAGCCAACCTGGCTTTTTACTTGCAGCCACCCTTTTCTTTCTGTAAGGAACATTGTATATTTAAAAATTTTCTACATTTAATCAAAGTCTCTCAATAATTCAGCTGCCTAGTTCACAACAGATAATTCTTATCTCATCCCTTCAAAATTTGCTTTTTAGAAAAAATATCATTATTCCTTATTTCCATATGCAGCAAAACATCAAACCTAATATAACAATGTTCACTTGCACCCAAATGTTCCTCAATTTCCACTCTCTCAACCATTTCTATATCAGAAGTTAACAATAAATCTAAAATAGCATTGTTCTTAGTAGGTTGGCCCACTGATGAATGAAACCATCTTAAACAGTTTCCAGAAACCTTTCTCCCTCATGATTTGACTCCATCATTTCACATTCTGTATGCCTGAAATTAAAATCACCCAAAATTATGACCTCATAAACAGCTTATATCTTAATCTCACTGTAAGGTTTCTTATTAATTTCATCAGTATCGTCTGGTGGTCTGTAACAAGGTAAAGAGGTAAAATCATGACTTCTGCAAATTGTAAGTGAATTTGAAATATTAAAAACAAAATGGAAACCAGGATTTGAAAAAAAAAGAAGTCTTGTAACTAATTTAATATATATATATAATTGATTAATGTAATTAACTAGGAAAAACAATTATATACAGTTCCAATATGCAAAAGTTTCTTCTCTTTACTGTAGGTATAAATCTCATGGAGGTTAAGGACAAGCTTGCATGTGGAAATGTAAAAAAGTGTTATAATTTCTTACCCATGACAAAATTGTCATTTATTCAGTTATTCAATTTAAAAAACAATGTACATATAATTTAACCTAAAAAAATTGTTCTGAAATGTAATTTCAACACCAATAAACATTTCTGTTTTAATATTTATATAACCTTCCCCCCTCATCAATGCCCCAAACTGTGGGAAATTCTGGATGTAAAGCTGGTTTGATTACTACAGTAAGAAATTTGGGTACTTACTATCAAAATTAGCCAAATTTTAAGAACATTTTTGCCCACTATAAATCTATTACATTGTTTTAAACAAATGTTTAACTGAATTATAGTATCTTTTTCAAAGCTGTAAAGTTTTTTGTCTTATCAAAAATACATTAACAATACAGAATCTTTAGGCTATGTAACATTGATACACCAGACCTTAGTTCAGAGAGTAAAAGTTGTAGTTTTAATTTTCTTGATAGGGAACACTCACTGACATCATTAGGACTTTGTGTTATCAACTCTATTAGAAGAGGCTATCCCCCACATGAAGGTGCACATATTGCATTAAGTGAGTATTTGTCTAACAGATTCCTAAATGTGGAAATTATATGCTTCCCTGTTGTTTTTTAATGAGTTGTTTTACCAAATGACTTTTTAAGTACTTATTTAATCAATAACTTAGTAAGTACCAGATTAACCTACAGGTTTATTAACAAGTCTTTATATCATTGAGTGTAGAAAGTTACTTACTAATCAATTGATTTAGTAACTATTTAGTTTTTTTTAAACTAAAAAGTTAACTAGTTGGTTTATTAAGTAACTGTCTCTGTAGTTGACTAACTATTTATGAGTTATCTCACCAGTTGGTTTAGTAAGTAACTGTCTCTCTAGTTGACTAACTATTTATGAGTTATCTCACCAGTTGGTTTAGTAAGTAACTGTCTCATCACTGGATTTAGTAAATAACTATCTCAATTATTGGTTTAAGGAACTATCTCACCACTTGTAGTACCAACTGTGTATGAATTGTCTAAGTGTGTTACCAGTTGGTATTGTGACTGTTAATCAGTTGTTTTAGTAAGTGTCACAAGCTGACACTGTAACTGTGAAAAAACAACAACTGATTAACTAGTGATTTAGTATATGTAATTGTTGTTTAAACTTTTTTGTGAGTGATCATAATGCCTATTAATTTAAACTAATAATAACTTATAAAATGAAACATCTGTCAGACCCTTTAATTCTCAATATGAATAGTCTATCAACCCCTCACAATTTATAGTTTGGATGAGATTTGAGATATTAATTATAGCTGGTGAGTAAGTTTTGCAAATGACAAATTGTAACACATGTACAATTAAGTAAAGGTGTCTATGAAAGAATGATTTGCCATATATTTTGAAATATAGTGATTGAGATTCACATTACAATTCTGTATGAGAAAATAAAGTTGTATTATGTGCATATTTGTAGGATAGTTGAACTGATCGTCTCTTCACATTGGAAAGAGTTTCATGTTGTAGGTTCTACTATAATATTGAAGGATGAAACCAAAGAAGAAGGCTATAATAGGAGGAATTGTGATCTTAAAAATCTCTTACTGCACTGATAGAAAAACAATTTATGCTAAATTGACATAAAACAGTAAAAAGGGGACAACATTATACCACATGAATTAAAAACATCCACATTGACCTGACATGTTTTGTCAACCCTGGTTTTCCATCATCATCAGAGGTAATAGCAAATCAAAGTTACAAAAACATGTCAGATCAGTTTGAATGGTCATAGTTCATGCAGTACAATCATATACTTTACTGCAGTTTTTTTTATACACCTGTAAAGTATAGCATAACTTAACCTATGTATAGCTATAATAGAGTGCTTTGGGTTTAGAACTTAAAACAAGGGAAAAAAAATGAAATACCTATTGTATAGCTACAGTAAACTCAATTAATCAATATAATCAATTATCTATGAGCATCAATTACATTGATTAGTGTCAGGTAAAATAATTAGTTAACTTAGATTATGATTAAACTGATTAATATAATGAAAATAATCAATTAATTGAAACTAGTGTTTTCAATTATTCCAACTATCCAAGTATCATGTTAGAATAATTGATCAGTTGAATATAATAGATTAATGAGCTCAAGGTTTAACTGAATACTGAATTCCACTAATTTCCCAATTATAACGTACTGAAATGGCTTTGAGGATCAAGAGGTAGTTTTTAATTTTTGGACACAGAATTAATAGGAAAAATATTTGATAGGTTAGTGAACTTAACAAAGTTTTTATAACTTTTAATCATGTGCTAATGCATGTTTTAAGAGAATGATACAATGCTACTTAATATGATGACAGCCTTTTACATTAAAATTTATAAGTAATGATTACTATGACTTGTGTGTATCATTGAGTTGTTAAAGTATTAATTCAAAAATATGCATTACTTGTACTTATTGTGATAAGATGTAAAGAAAACTATGATTATGAATAACATTGTATTTTAACTTGTGTTATAGGAACTGTACGGAGGTTTATAGAAAAGTTTGGGGAAGATATTGAAGTGGTTGTATTTGCTGTTGATGATGTGGATGTGGGAATATATGAGCTCTTGATGCCTCTCTACTATCCACGTTCGAAGATAGAAGAGGAATATGCAATGTATTATCTTCCCCCAGATGTGGGTGGTATAAATGGAGAACCTTTTCTTCCTGAGAGACAAATTCGTATTGTTGATAAGCCATTCCATGATGAGGAAGGTGAGGTTGATAATTTTAAATATCGGCATTTTTTTTAAAATGATCAGTAACTAGATTGAGATATCCCCCCCCCTCCTTTTAACTTGCCCTAATGAACTCTCAAACATTTCATATACATCTCTAGTGAAATAAATGTACCTCAAAGTGCCAGACTTGTTATGGAAAAGTTTATGAAACTTTATGCTAAGGTGGACAAAAAATTTCTAAACTATGAAACATCAAAGACATTTCATCCCTTCAAAGACGTCCTGACTCCCAACCTTTCTTATCAAACAGAAAACGAAGTACAAAATCTAGCCTTGATTGCCCAAATATTCATCAGTCCTTTTCTTAAACTCATTAAAGTTTCCCCCTCTACCACTAGATTGCATTTCATTTCTCAGATTTATCTTGGTGTCAGAGAATTAAAATTACTGCCCAATTGAAGATGTGTTTAGCCATTCCAAATGTTAAATTTTTGCTATTTTGTTCTAATGCCCACAGAATTCAACATAAAAATTTGATGCATCAATCTTATCAATTCCTTTAATAAACCTTAATATTTCAACAAGATATAATTCCAAATGAGGAATTACTAGTGACTTATACAATGAAAATATATCTTTAGGCGTGTAGTCAGTATTTCTGTACGTACATCCCAAAATTCTCTTAGCTCTACCTCTTGCAGTAGAACAGTCTGTCAAGAGCGTAAGAGTTGTATCAACTAATACCCCAAGTTTTTTTCATACACATAATAAAGGGATTACCATCTAAATTATGCATGTAGTTTATATTATGATAACCCACTTAAATGTATCATAATTAAATACCATCTGTCATGTGTTTGTTTTACTAACTGATTGACCTTTGTTTCTCTGTAAAATTAGAGCATCTTTGTTTCAGTCAACCAGACCTTTTGGCTTGCATTTTGTAACTTTGCATCTAATTGAGCCAGTCCCTTCAGTTTTGTTCCTGCCATAAGTAATAACCAGGACTTTTAATTGTCTAGACAGAAAAAAATAGTGAATATTGATATAAGAAATGAAAACCTGAAAATTCATAATAGGTTCACTTGGCTATTTGCCAAATAAATTTGTAGCAGCTATTTTGTATACATGTTTATAATGCTATTATGATTGTACATTCATTTTTATCTATGGATGCTTTGCTGTATTGTATAAGGATATTGTATTTAATGTTTGTTTAATGGAAATGTTATGCTCCCTTTGTTTAATAAAATTATTGTCTCTGATATACTTCCCTTGAACTACCTTGTGCTTGTTTTAGAGCAGAACAGTTCGATTTAAAACAGATGGCAGATACCACTGATCTAGGCCTTCAGCTGAAATTAGTTATGTTTTGTAGTTGAGATGTTTGATAATTTATTACAGTGAAAATAAAGCCCACTCTTCAGTTCTTCACATTATATAGCTGCACAATAGCAGATTGTAATAAACTTAGTATTCAATCTACACTTTGATCAACGTGTGTTATTGGGTTATACTAGTTTTGGAGAATTCCACTCCTCATCTTATTTTAGTTATTATTAAACTTTGAAATTAAACAATTTTCAGAATACTAAATTTATTTATCATATCTGCTATTATGCAGCTGTATGATGTGAAGAACTGAATAGTGGCCAATGACACTTTTTCTTCAGTTCACCTGTCTAGTGTATAGGTTTTTCTCATAGTGAATACAAAGCACGTTCACATCAACTGTAAGTGAAAATAAACTAAAAAGAAAAAGGAGTATGTTTGTTAGTCCCCTTAGAATCACTTTCAGGTAGTTTGAATAATCAAGTTGATGTGTTCTTAGAGCAGAATCATTTTCATTGAATTTCTTTGCATTTATATTTATATTTCTTCTTACCATTATTATTTCTGTGCATTTAAGAATTGATTTTCTTTTAATGTACATGCCTTTTTACTGTCTGCTAATTATGTAATATTCAATATGGTTTACCTTTTTATTTTTTAATTTGTAATTTTGATTTGTTATTTTCTTTGTGTTCAGAACTTTCTACATAAAGCCCCACAATTAATTTTCATCCATTTACTTGTGAAATCATTTCAATATTCTATTTTTTCTTTATCATTTTACTTTGTAGACTTAGAACAAAGTGTTGATTTAGCAAAGCAACTAGAGTCATCAGTCAATGTTGGAAAAACATCTTTTGCAAAAATGCATGGAGATGTTGATAAGAAAAGAACCAGCTCTCAGAAAATTAGTGTCAATCCTGATACTCTAATAACGGAAGTACAAAGAAAGAACAAGTATGTAAATACTTGATTGAAGAAAGTTGTATTGTTACTAATAATGTTATTTAATGATAGCAGGGAGCTGTCCTGTTGCAGTTAATGCTATATTTATAGAAAATAACTGGTTTTGTTTCTTTTCAAGCTGTGTATTACTAGAAGTAGGTGTTGTGTTGCTGTTAACTGTTTGTTATTGGAAGGGGGCTGTGTTGTTGCTGTTAACAATGCTAATAGAATGGATTTGTTGCTGTTAACATTTTGTGTTAATAGAAAAGAGTTGTTTTATTGTTGTTAAAACTATGTACTAATAGATGTGAGTTCTTTTGTTGATGGTAACATTATATGTTAATAAAAAAAGAGCTGTCCTATCCATATTAAGACTGTATTGGTAGACAAGAGGTGTCATGTTGGTGTTATTATTGTGTATTGATAGATTTGAGTTGCACTGATTCTGGTAATTATACTTAGTAATTGATAGAAGCTGTCTTTATATGGTTAACACTATAAAGTTATAGAAGTTGTCATGTTTAGAGCTTGGTGACTTAATCAATTACTTATGAGCAGCAATTACATTGACTAGTGCCACATAAACTAATTGGTTCATCAAAATTAATATTTCTGATTCTTATCGTTTTCAGTTATTCCAAAAATTTAGTATTTGAAATTAAGATTAAATCAATTGTCACTAAAATAATCAACTAATTGAAATTAGAGTTTTTGAACATTACTGTTCAAACAGTTATTCCAACAGTTGATTGATTGAAATTAGTATTAAATCAATTCTCATGAAAGTAATCAACTATTCAAAATTAAGATTTCCAGTTATTACTATTTTAAATTATTACAACTATCCGAGTTATTGAATTATTGCTATTATGTTATTTTATTCTTAAGCACATAGTTATGTAATTGGCTATCTGTGCTCCGCCTGATTTTGATCTTATAAGTTGTTGTTTTGTTTTTACTTCAATTTTGCTTTTCTTTGGTGATTCAGAGGAGAATTGTGATTCGAGGGTCTCAAGTTCAATGCTTATTTCCACCAAAATTGCTCATCCTGTCTTTATTATTTCAAAGCTACTGAGGTTATCTGCCATTGTTGCTAATTTTGAACCTGCCAACTAAAGGAAAGGCAACTTTCTGGCAGCACGAACATTAATGGAGCTGTCCTTTATTCAGTTAGCAAATGCCACTAATTGTTCAGCTCTATCCATGTCCCTGTTCATTTTGAGTAATGAATTTTAAAATCAAAATCATTACTAAATTGTTACAGTGCAACTAATGAAAAAGTTGGGTTATATATACAGGGACAAAATAATCAATCTTTTAGCTAGATTGCAAGTGAATAAATAATTTCACTTGTTTCTATAGCAAATTGAATACCAAAAGTCACCCCAGTACCACTTTCCTGTATCACTAAACTTGACGTGTCTAAAGGACTATATGTTGATCTAAACTTGACATGTCTAAAGGACAATATGTTGAACTAAACTTGACGTGTCTAAAGGACTATATGTTGAACTAAACTTGACATGTCTAAATGACTATGTATCACTAAACTTGACGTATCTAAAGGACTATATGTTGAACTAAACTTGACATGTCTAAAAGACAATATGTTGATCTAAACTTGACATGTCTAAAAGACAATATGTTGATCTAAACTTGGCATGTCTAAAGGATAATATGTTGAACTAAACTTGACATGTCTAAAGGACTATATGTTGAACTAAACTTGACATGTCTAAAAGACAATATGTCGAACTAAACTTGACGTATCTAAATGACAGTATGTTATCTAAAGTTGACATGTCTGAAGGACAATATGTTGAACTAAACTTGACATGTCTAAATGACTATATGTATCACTAAACTTGACGTATCTAAAGGACTATATGTTGAACTAAACTTGACATGTCTAAAAGACAATATG